TGGGAGCTAATAAGTAGTCATGCTGGTTTGACAAAAAAAAAAAAAAAAAGAAAAAAGAACAGTGCATAAAATATGCCAATGCAAGCAGAACCAATGATATTGGTCAGAAAAATATCTAAAATTGTTTTGGAATCAGAACATTCATCTTTTGGCAATTCCAATTTTCTTCTTTCTCATAATTCTTTATTTTGAAGAGACTGCCCATCACATAATTTATATGAGCAAAATAATATAATAAAATTTTGATGCATTATCCAAGACCTCTAAAGGAAATTGAATTTAGACAAAAAATACTAAATTGTTTTTAAAAATAATTTTCTGTTGTCCTTAAAGTGCTAGTTTTCTTTCAATTAATATTGGGAGTTATTTAGTACAATCAGATTTTCATTTAATTTTTTAAATTTGAATTAATTAGCTTGAATCGAGGATATTTTCCAAACATCCAAGATCTGTCTACAAATGATAATCCTAGCAACACACATTATCTGGGCACTGAACTCAAGTGTTTTCTGACAGTACTTTGGGATAGATATTATTTACATAATTATTCATATATGGAAATATTAAACTTCATAATGAGTATGGAAATAATAAAATATTCTAATTGGTATATTCAGTCATTGAATTTAACTCTAGAAATCAAATGGAAACATTTATAAATTCTACACTATATCAATCCCAGATGATAGTTAACTTTCTGAACATGGACCGTAGCAAATCTTAGCAAGTAGTTTTATAGATTCTTGGTGAAATCAACCCATTTTAACTGGTAAATAGAGAATAAAATCAAAGTTATTAACTTACACTAGAGTGCTCTTGTAATATTTTATTTGCTAGTTCCATCCTTGAACATGATTCTTCATTGTGACCCAAATAATTTGCATAAGTATCTTTAATAAACTTGTAACAGAAAGTATGGGGAGGATGTATAATTTACAATGAGATAAATATCCAAATTCCTATTCATGCCCAATTTTGAAGTGCTATATACATAAATTATATTCATTCATGTATTATTAATATTTGTCTATCTTCTTTCATCAAAATCTCAATTATTTAAAAAGAATTAACCTTGATGATGTTTTTATGAAAAACATCATCAAGGAGGTCAGAAAATTGTTGTGAGATGAAGGTGTGACGAACACTAGACTTGAAGACTTTAAAGAGAACATATGGACCTGGTGATACATGATCTGTAAAGTTTATGCACAAAGAACCTCTTGCCATGATGCTTCTTCCGTTTATTCATGGTTTAAAAGGAAATGTTTCATTTTCTAATGCTTTTTCTCATGTGACAAAGTAAACTAAATGTTAGAAACACTAATGAGTATATTATAAACACTCTTGGAGTCAAAATGTTATTTTGTTTCTGAAGTCTTCATATTTATTTTAATGGCAATTTTTGTTAATGCACATCTTTATTTTTTCTGAATATCATTTCAAATGTTTCATAAACTATTTAGTAAATTTTTCATACATTGACTTTAATAATTTAAATC